CTGGTCAAACTCAGTCATCCTACAGAACTGCAACAGCTTCTCCTGAGCAGATGAAATACCTCAACCAAAAAAAAAAATGTACTTATTGCTGTGTTGTTGGGTGGGTTGGGGTTTGTTTTTTTCCCCTGTTTTTTTTTGTTTTTTCCCCCCACCTCTTCTGGAAGGATTTGCGTATGTTAAAAGCTTCTTTTTATATGTCTTGTCGACTGCTTTTTAGTTTGAATTTTATATATTGTAGCACCAAAGAGACACCAAACGAAAGAGGGAGAGAGAGAGAGAGTAAAAGAGGAACAAAACTTTCCCCCTGGCTTGAAGGAATGGAGGTTTTGATATTGGCCCCAACCACTTCGGGCGTGGGAGAGAAGTCGGCATTGGTGGCAGGTTAATTCCTCTTTTTTTTTTCCTCCTCCTTAACCCCCAAAAGGGCCTTTCCCCCCCTTCTTCTACAGCAGTGTTTCCTCAACCTTGGCAGCTTTAAGAAGAGTGGACTTCAGCTCCCAGAATTCCACTCCTCTTAAAGTTACTGATTTGAGAAACATTACTCTGCAGCATGGTGCTTTCTAAATGTGCAGGACTTCCAGAATTCCTAACCTGAGACGCGAGTTATAATTCTGATGTATCTGAAGAGCACTCAAAATGGGTCAAGTCGGAGGAATCTGTGATCTCCCAAAGCTTGCTGAGACCCACCCACCCCGCAAACACGGCCAGTAACGAGGGGCTGGATCCCTCCCCATTTCTATTTTAAACAGGTCTTTTAAGGATCTTCCTCCTCCTCCTCCTCCTCCTCCTCTCTTGGCCAACAGGTCTGAGTGGGCAAACATTTTAGCCACGCTGCTCCTCGAAGGAGGAGATGCTCCTAAACAAGCTCCCTGGTTGCCACGTAGCCGTGGGAGGACAAATGAAGAGAAAGCGACAACTTGGGGACAGCCCAGATCTACCCAATGTGGGCCAGATACCTTGCAAAATGCCCGTATCTTGGTCTCCCCTCCCTCCCTCCCTCCCTTTCGCAGCCCTGCCTTATTGGTGGTTGAGTTGTGACTATTCCCACCCCATGTTTTCATCCACCCAAGAAAGAAAAGTTCTTGAAGAGAATCCATAGGTAAGAGTGAATCGGTCTTTGTACGTCAAGTGGTGGACATGCCAAAGGACCTGTATGTCCCCTTTAGCAACCCCTGAGAGGAAAGAGGCCCAGGTTGCAAGAAGGACAGCCCATATTATCTCCTGCCCTGTCAACTGGACCACCAACTGGCCAAGATAAGCTCCGCTCTGGGTCTGATCTGCAACCAGAGTAAGGGACACCTCCTTCGCTGTGCCATCTTTCTCATCGAAAACATTCGACTCCGAAACGTGTACCAATCTGCCTTGGGCCACGTCCAAAAGCCCCTTCCTGCTTCCATTCCAAGGGAAGGCAGGAAGCCCAAAGATTGTGCTCCGATGAGGCCATTTCTTCTACCCATCTTCCTCCAGCCGAAGACTGCGCAGATAGCCAAGCCTCATGGGGAATGGAGTCTTCCGATTAAGGCAGGGCAGGCAGAGAGGCTAAAAAAGGAATTGGCTGTCCAGGATCTGCCAACCTTTCCTGGCCACTTGTGGCTTTTTAAGCAAATGTAGGGATTTTTGATCCTCCGCATTGTTTAAAAGTTTCTCTGGGAGGGTGGCGTGCGTCCCTCTAAGACCGTCCCATCGGTTATATTGCTTAGAAAGCCATCCCGGCCGACCCCCACCTTGTAAAACCGAACCCTTGGCGGCTGTTTGAAGAAAACCCTTGGCCGCCTTTGCAGAAGGAGACATCTCGAAAGCCCATCCCATAATTGTGAGGGCTTCTGCAGGCTGACGAGAGCAGAGAGAGAGGGACAAGGGAATACTTTTGCCAAACACTTGTGGCTTTTTAAACCCTTATTTATTTTTAAGCACGCTTCCCCCTCTCCAGGAGTTTTACCCCCATCCTGGAGCCCTCTTGAGTATCAAAACTTGGCCTTGGAGGTAAAAACTCATTTTTGGGGAAGGGGGGGGGGGGGAAAAAAAAAAAATGGAAGCATGCTAGCCCCCGTAATTTATTTTTCCCCCCCGTCTCAGGAAAATTAACCCCCCCCTCCTGCTGTCATCCCTCCAACACGTCTCACCCCCCCCCCCCAATCATCGTGCCTCCCCCAGCCATGCCCAAGTTGGCATCCCTTGCATTTCCCAGGGCTGGTGGAGGGGCAGGCAGCCTTCATTCCTCTTAGCAACGGACGCCGCTAACCGGAATCCAGGCAGGGGAGTGAAAGAGTTTGTTCTTCTTCAGGGTTTTGTTTTTTTGTTTCGGGTGGGAGGGGGTGAGCTAGATTTCGGGAGGGTTTGTAACGATATATATATAAATATATAAATATAAATATATACCTCATTCAGATAAGCTGCGGCATCACGCGTTGGCTCTGTTCATTGGGGGGGGGGGGAGGCTCTTATTTTTTGCTCTGCCTGCCGTTTTTTTTTTATTTGGGACTGAAGACGGGAGCCCCTCGGTTTCAGAGCTGCCCACCGTGGTGGTGGTGGTAGCGTTCCTCTCTTCGGTGGGATTTTGGGGAGGGGTCCGTAAGGCAGCAGCAGAGCACGCCTCATTTGGGTGGGTGGGTGGGTGGGCATTGGGTGGGATTGTTGGAGAGGGAGGGAGCCTTCATCCCTTCCCTTCCCTAACTCGGGATATTAAAAGATTGTATGGCACTCAGGACTTTTCAGTACGACGGGAAGGGTAGGTTGTTTGAAGGGCAGATCCGTGTTTTCAAAGGGTGGCTTCCTTCCCACCCGACCCCTGGCCATCCAAAAAAGGCCTTGTGGCAACTTGGGTGGGCGAATGGGGCGTTGAGGGAGGCCCGGCCCTAAAATTGCCTAAATCATCCCCCTCAAACCTGGGCCGTTCCTGCTTCCTGGCCGAGGGTCTTCGTTGGGTCCAAGTCCTCGACCCAGAGGTCTCCAAACTTGGCCAACTTTCGAGACTGGTGGACTTCAGCTCCCAGAATTCCTCAGACAGCCTCTTCCCTATGGCCGGCTGGGGAATTCTGGGAGTTGAAGTCCACGGGTCTCAAAAAGTTGGCCAAGTTTGGCAGGTCCCTGCCTCAACCTGTCGAGCCATCGCAGGATCTCTGACCTTGGAAGGCCAGACGGTGAAGCAGGGCTGCCCACAGGGGCTTCCATCCGACGTTTCAAGGGTAATTTACCCCACTTTTCCCTCCCCACTTTTGCCCTTAGTCCAGCAAACGCCCCCCACCCCGGTGCTTTTTTAGGTAGCCCCAGAAGTCGGATGGATGTGAAGGAGTATGGAGTTGTCCCACTCCACACGCCACCCAGAAGGATCTGCACGCCGAAACCCTACACAGCCCTTTCCAGCTGCTGCTGTTCTTTTTCCTTCCCTTCCCAAGAGGAAGGAAGGAAAAGGAAGGTAGTCAAATCTAAAGATCAGGTCACTACAGCAGCCTTGGAACTAGTTTGTTCTTAACTATTTAAAGAAAGAAAGAAAGAAAAAAAAAAGTGATAGCCTAGATGGTGAAAAACTAAAATACCTCAGATGTTTTCCTTCCAGCAAGTGTCTGTATATGTTGTCGTTGGGTTTATTTTTATTTTTATTTTTCTGTTTTGTTTTGTTTTTGTTTTCTATCTTTAACAAGTTATCTGAATGTTTATATTCCAATAAACTTCTACCTCTTCAGATCATGGCTTGTCGTCGTCCTGTTTCTTTGTCCTACGTATTGGGTGCTCAACTCCCCTGAAAAGGGCGGCAGGGTGCTTTGGATGCATCAAAAGCTTCTTATTGTTAAGATTTATTCATGTATTCATCTTTATTATCAAATAACTTCATAAAACGGCTCTTTTATTTATTTTCTTGAAATGATATCACAGTGTCAGACATCTGCCGGTTTCACTAAAGCCAACACAGGTTTGTGGGCCCCAGTAGAAAGCAGCGGAAGCAATTCCGTGATTCCCTCAAGCCCCTGGGAGGGCGAAAACAGCCTCCCCTGGGCTCCAAAGGCCCTCCGGAGGCTGAAAATGGGTACTTCCGGTTTTTTCCGGAAGGCCCATTTTTCAGCCTCCCGAGGCTGCGGAGGCTTCCCTCAAGCCAAAAAAAAAGGCCTCAAATGGGCCGAAAATCAGCTAGGAGGCGCACACATGCGCAGTGCAGGTGATTTTGGCTGGGGCTCGCGTGTCCGCACAAATGGCTCTGCGTGGCACCTGTGGCATGCGTGCCATCACGGCGCTAGAAGGGCTGCAGAATTCTCTTCCTTTTTCAAATCTCTATGGTGAAACCTACCAGGAAATCTCCCTCCTGTCGGACAGCAAATAGCCTTTGTTGGAATCGATGGGGATGTTGGGTTATTGAGTTACGCCCGGGGACATAAACGGCAGCTGGCCGTGTATCTCGAGCATCTTGAGCCCTTGAGATATGGTGAGCCCCAGGACCAATCTTCTCCAAACCCAAGAGAATTTCAACGGGAGAGAAAACTCAAAATTGCAGGAGCCAGACTCTTAATCTGAGGCCCCAGCTGAGCTTCCTGCTCTCCTTGTGTTTATGGTGGCTTCTTATTTTCACATCCTTATCTGCCAATGAGGTAATAGATCTCTCCCCAACAGTATTAGCTTCAAGCAATCTTGTGATTAGCAGAAGCCTTGAGATGGGAACATGCTTATCCTCCACTTGGAGATCCTCCACAGCTAGGCAAAAGATTAAATCCAGCTTTTTTAACATCATCATAATATATTTTATTGTAATTACAGTCTTAACAATGATTTGATAATAGTACGATATCAAGAGGACAGTAGTTTTATACATTGTGAATTGTAACATAAAATTAGGAAGGAAAGACTGTTGATATCGTGCACGAGAGATAGGTACCAACCAACACACTGTGCAATGGAAAGATTTTGTTTTGTGTTTTTGTGTTTGTTTATGTTTCTTGTTAAAAATAAAAAATAAAAATATATATTTTAGAAAGCAGGAGAAAGAAGAAAAAAATCTCAGTGCATCCTTCCTAAGGTCAGATCCCCGGGCTGATGTTTCTTCTGTCCCCACGAACCAACCTTGGTTGCTACACTCCTCTTCTGTTCTCCGGCGATTCGGCCCTCTCTCGAAAAGGGGACCATGGTCTTGGAGCCCCAAAAGGCTTGGGGGACAAAAGCCCTGGGCTCCAGGGTCTGAGTAAAGCTTCATCCTCCACATGCTTTAGGGGGACGATTGGAGAAGCCACGGGGGCTAATAAAAGCTTGTCCAATGCTGAAGATGTATCGGAGGAGATCCCGTGTGGTTGATGAGATGCGCCGGAAGGTAGAAGCAAGGAGGCCTTTTGCACCATCCCGATACTCGAAGGGGCGTCACTTGGCTGCCCCACAGCGCAGGCTTCGAACGGCTCCTGTATCTCTGCGTGTTGGGAAGAGGATGGAGCTTCATCCTTCCGTGAGGGAACCTCCAGAATCTCATGGCAATAAGTAGTTTGCACATCATCTGCGGGGCTGGTGGGAAGTCTTGGAACCTGCATTTCCTTGTGACTCTTTGCCGACGGTCGCTTTGAAAGCTGGCGGATCTCCTGAATCTGCTCCTGGAATCTCAGTTTGGCTGTTGGGGGGAAAAAGAGCCAAGCTTCGTTTTAACGACCGTCCACTCCCTACAGTTCGTCCTCAGCTTACAACAGTCCATTCAGTGACCGTTGAGATGTCTGTGGAGAGGCTCAATCCTCCAGTTCATGGTTGTCCCAAAGGTGCTTTTTATTTTTTATTTTTTTCCCCACGAGGCAACTGGAGTTTCCTTGTTTTTCTTTGAAGATGTTTCGCTTCTCGCCCAAGAAGCTTCCTTCAGTTCTGAAGAAGAAGATCCGAAGAAGCAAAACATCTTCGAAGAAAAACCAGTTGCCCCTTGGGGAAAAAAAGCAACTTTGGGATCATTTAAAGCTACCGCAACACTAAAAAAAAAAGTGATGTATCACCGTTTTTCACACTTAACAACCGTAGCAGCATCTCCAGAGTCACATGAACAAAATTGGGATATTTTCCATAAAACACTGGATGATAAAAGGGGCTGAACTAAAATACGAGTTCCAGGTATAGCTATAAAAGAAGAGGCAGACCTCACAATCCTGGAACTAAAACTATATTGTCCACTTAGCTTTCATTAGCCTCTAATGACATTGTCAGAGTGTAAAACTACCATTGAAGAGATATGTGTATAAAACTTTATCCATGTATAAAACCATGTATAAAACTTTAATGGTAGTTTTATACTCTGATGATGTTAGCAGAGGCCTACGAAAGCTAAGTGGGCAATAAGGATTTGAATCATCTTGCAGTAAAGCTGGGAGAGAGAGAGAGGGAGGGAGGGAGAGAGACAGAGAGAGACAGAGAGAGAGAGAGAGATGAATATGAATATATTCAAATAAAAGGATTTGAATCATCTTGCAGTAAAGCTGGGACCTCACTGAAATAAGAGCTAAAAACTCCTCACCTTGCATTAAGTTCTCATTTTTCTCTTTCAAAGTTTGAATTTCACAGGCCATGGTGGAAATCTGGAAGTGAAGAAACAAAATTTAACAATCCTGCAAAGAGACAGCCGGGAACCTTTGAGAGCCTGCAGCCAGAAGGCAGCTAGCCTTCACTTTTGGATCTTACTTAAAATTATTTTGATCCTGCCCTTTTTTTTTTTTTTTTCAAATAAACTTTTCTCCAAAGCTCAAATCAGTCATGGAATGCTTGCAACAGTTGGCAGTTCGGGGGTTCGAATCCCTAGCGCCGTGGAATGGAGTGAGCTCCCGTTCCTTGTCCCAGCAGCTTCTGCCAACCTAGCAGTTCGAAAAAAAATGTAAAAATGCAAGTAGAAAAAAATAGGGACCCCTTTGGTGGGAAGGGAACAGCGTTCCGTGCGTCTTTGGCGTTTAGTCCTACCGGCCAAATGACCACGGAGACGTCTTCGGACAGCAGCGCTGGCTCTTCTTCGGCTTTGTGATGGAGATGAGCAGCGCCCCCTAGAGCCGGAAATGACTAGCACGCATTTGTGCGAGGGGAAACTTTACCTTGCAGTCTAAACCCATGTCAAGAATCCCAAGTCAAGAAAGAAGATGAACGAAAATAGAAGAAATGTCTGCTTAGCTTCAATCCTCATCCATCTTTCTTGAGTCTCCTTGTCTTATAGCCATCCCATACATGGGTCGAGTTATCTTCAGGAGCACCTTCCCTCTACTGAGGTGTGAGTGACCAAAACAGCCTTCTTTCCCTGCCGTTATTATTTTGAGGACGCAGCCTGCAAATGAGTTGTGCTTACCACATCGGTTTTTGCTTTCAGCTGCTGCCGAAGGCTCTCTTCTTCTTCCTCCCTTTTGGAGGTGTCTCCAGCTTCCCAATGTCTTTCTTCTGGTGAAACTCCGAGGCGTCCCTGTGAAGTGGGGAAAAGCAAACTGGAAGTCGTTCTGGGGCATTGCTGGTGGTTCTTCATCTTCGAGGCTAAGACCCCATCCTCAAAAATCACATCTTGTGAGGAAAACCAAGCGGTTGGATCAATCTTAAAGCAGGGGGTCTCCAACCTTGGCCACTTTTAAGACTTGTGGACTTCAACTCCCAGAATTCTGGGAGTTGAAGTCCACAAGTCTTAAAAGTGGCCAAGGTTGGAGACTCTTGATCTAAAGCACGGCTTGGTCCAGCATCCTACCATGGCTAACGGAATAACCCCTGCAAAACACGCATTGGTATGCTCCAGAATCTGATATCCTCCCACCTAAAGTTGAAGGACCTAGAACCCATTCTAGGACCGTTGGGTCACCCGTGTTCCCCACCTCCCCAAAACAAGGTTGGTATCCACACAGCTGGGATTCAACGGGTGGCCCATCGAGGTGATGGGAAGATGGCATCTCACCAGCACTCGTGGAACATTCTGAGGTGCCATTGAGCTCTTTTCCTTGAGTCCCCCGTCCTGATGCTTCCTGGCTCCTGCTTGCTGCTGTTGCCTCTGTCTGAACAGTTCCTTCAGCTTTTGGAGAACAGAAACATGTAATATTCTGTGTGATGACCCAAAGGGGCGTGGCACAAAGGCAACACAGTCAAATAAACAAGGACAGTCCCTTTATTATCTCCAACTCTGCCCCCAATGTCCAGGTTATCTTCGACTGGAGAAAAATACTTCCAGGAACAGCCTTTTAAGTGGAGAAAATTCAGTCCAAAAACAAAGTACATACAAACTGTAACTAAAAATCCAAATCTCTCTGGTTTCTTCCCCAAACCTCAAAAACTTTAACCTTAGACTGTCTACTATTGACCTCACCCCTTTCCTAAGAGGTCTGTAGGGGGCGTGCATAAGCGCACCGATGTGCCTACCGTCCCTGTCCTATTGTTTCTTTTATTTTTCTTATATGTACCCATTTCATGTATTCATAACTATGTTTATATTTATACCTGTTATCTTATAATCGCTTGAAAAATAAATAAAATAAAAATCTCACCTGCTCAGTCACTGAATGATGTTGTAGCCTGAGACCTTCCAGCTGATTCCCAACAATCTTTGCCTCCAGGCCACTAGGACGCCCCTAGAAAGGGGGTGAAAAATAGCTCTGGGTCAGCAAGAATTTCCTGATTGTCACTTCTCCTTTATGACATGGGAAATTAACCCACACAGCTCAAGATTTTTGTGAACTGATTGCAGATTATGAACTATTGTGACCTTCTAAGGTATCTCTTCGAGCAATTGCTTCCTTATTCATCGATTGCAAAATGGATGGAATCTGGGCAACTGAATGAAGCTAGCAGAGTGTTTAATGGCCGGATGTCCTTCCTGTCACCAATGCGGAGTTTTGTTCATCCGATAATATTCTCAGTGTGCCCAGAGAGAGAAATATCTGCCTCTACCAAGAATCGAACTCACAGGCCTCCTGATTGTGAAGCGATAGCTCCACCTCCAGGCCACTGCACCCTTCCAAACACTTCGTTATTCTCCTGGTTAAAGTCTATAAGGTTATGTAGCATGACCAATTGCGCTCTGCTCTTCAAACTAAGGGAATAATTACCTCAGACCTTCCCTCTTGTTCAAAAATAATCAATCCTAATTCAAAAATTTCATTGGGTCAAGAAGGCCCAGCTAGACCTGGTTTTTCACCATGGCCCATTGGATGTCTCCCAAGCTCACTGGTCTCATAGCAGCTGGGATGGAGCATGGAGGTGCCTTCTACGTGTAGCTCAAACGTGTTCGAGGTGGGTGCCAGATCCAACTGACATGTCTTCTTGACCAGGTGTTCTGACCCAAGCCTCGTTCAAATCAAAGAAACACAAAGTATATATAAAAGCAAACCTTTTTAATGCGTCTCTGTGAATTCTGTTCATTCACGGCAAAGAGTCATTAAAACTAATTGTCCCAGAAAAGAGCAAAGCCCTTTCAAAGTTGCGAAAGGCTGCCAAGAATAAAAGACTAATTGCAGATAAATATCCAAAGCCAGACGTTTCAAAAAAACAAACCGGAGCAAGCAGGGCTTCAACGAGGTCTCTGAGCATAAAGAACTTCTTTGCTTCCTGCAAAGAAGCCAACCCCAAAGGCTGGCTTTTATCCCTTATGGGAGGGGCCGTCCCCTTCCAGCCTCACTCCCGAGTTGCCCATGCTCTCAGAGACCTCAGCCATCCGCACCTGCTGCCAGAGAACCACAACACCAGAACTAACCTTCTCACAAAAGGTCCCCAGACCTTGTCTTGTTATCTTCGTCTCTGAGGAAGTTCTCGTCTCCAACACAGTTCTGTCTACATCTTTGGTCATCCTGAGATCTCTCAAGGCTTGGTCCCTGGGGATAAGAATTCTTTTGAACTAAATTGCAGCACCTCCTGGAAACCAAACCCAATGCTTTGTGTCTTTGGGCACAAAATGACTTTAAAAACGAGTCCAAATGAAGAAGCAACAGCAGAGGAAGATGGAGGCCTCCAGAGATTATAGGAAACAAAAGTTCAATAACATTCCCTGTAGATCTGAAAAGTTTTTCTTCCTGTTTTATGCAGTGGAAACAACAGTCTTCGTAGAAAGTGCATTGCCCGTTATGGGAACCTGGCATTTTCTAACATTTTGCTTTCTTCCTCCAGAAATAGAAATAGCACTTAGACTTACATACCGCTTCACAGTGCTTTTACAGCCCTCTCTAAGCACAGAGTCAGCCTCTTGCCCCCAACAATCTGGGTCCTCATTTTACCCACCTCGGAAGGATGGGAGGCTGAGTCCACCTTGAGCCCGGTGATATTTGGACTGCCAAATTGCAGGCAGCTGGCAGTCAGCAGAACTAGCCTGCAGTACCGCATTCTAACCACTGCGCCACCGTGGCTCAGTACAGTATTGTTATTACTGTTGGGTGGAATTTGCCACGACATAACAGCCTTGTCTGTCAAAAGTGCCTTTTGTTTCCTGGAGAACATGGACAGATCACTTCCTGTGGAGATCTAGTGGTCATTTATACCTTGAGATCCCTGTCTTGCTCTCTTGTTTTCCTTACTTTTCGGTAAGTTGCTCCTCCAAAGCATGGACCAGTTGCTGCAGCCTCTGCTTCTCCAAACTCCATTCTGCGTTCTACCAAGAAACAAGAGCCCAAGTAAGCAGGCAAGAGGCATGCCAGCCCTGAGATGCTGCTGCAGATGTTCTCCAGGGCATCACTGAGACTTAAACATGTGGCACCAGCTGTGACAAGATCCAAAAAAGGCAGACCAATAAAGGAGAATATTTGTAACTCAGGGTTGAAAATGAGGAGTAATGGTGCTCTCTGAGTTTGGTTGTTTTCCTGCACATGTTTCATTACCCAAACTAGGTAACGTCATCACTGCACTGATGATGTTAACTAGTTTGGGAAATGAAACATTTGTAAGGAAACAACCAAGGATCCCACAGTCCTCTTATTCCTCCTCCCCCCCCTCTCCCCCTCCTCCTCTTCCTCCTTCTCCAAAAAACCCACCTCCCTTCTAGGACTGATGATGTTACCTAGTTTGGGTATTTAAAAGTCTGCAAGAAAACCACCACCAAGCTCAAGAGAGCACCAGGGACCCTACTGATCCTTGCCTACAGCTGAAAGATCAAAAGGGCCAGGACAACTGAAAATCCAGAAGACAAGGAAAGGGAGGAAAACTTATCAAGAAACTGTTGGCCACACCTTGGCTTGAAGAGCCTGGCTCTGGGCATTCATTTTCTCCAGCTCTTCTTCCTTGGTCTTCAAAGCGGCATTTCCTTCCTCCCATCGGTTTCTCCAGTCTTGGGAGATGGACTGTTGCTCGTCCAATCGCTTGCCCAACTCTTCAGCTTGCCTTTCAAGGTCCTGGCAGTGAACCTGCAGAAGACCTTTCTCCTCCTGTAATTGGACCTGAGATTCCCTACAGAACCAAGGGGAAGAGAAGGTAGAAGGTCCATGAAAAAGTGTTTGTGGATTCTTCAAAGCCACCTGGAAAGGAACCGGGGAACTGATTTTTGCACCCGTGGCGTTGCCTTTGAGGAACATAGAGGGCAGTTCCTTTTCAGACCAACCCCTCTAACCATTAGGCTACCTGGTTCTCTTGGCTCAAGTAGGTTGGTCAACTGCCTTGGAACGCCAGTGAAATGGATATGCTCAAGGAATAAAGTTGCACATCCATGGTTTGAGCTGCACCACTTCCTAGCCAAAGAGGCTGGATGTCAGGATTCCGGCACTTAACCCCATTTAAACCATGAGTCTCGAGCCAAACTTCCAAAACTTAAAGAAGATTTATTAGGAATAAACATGCCAGAACTGCCTGGGTGTAGCCGACTCTGAGACACATCATTCATTGTCACCCTTGACCCTGGTTTTCCCCAACCCTTCTGGGTGTATCGTAATTCATATTCTCCAATGGGACACATCCATAGCCAAGAGCCATCAATCATGCTCTCCAGTTAGAATTTTGCGGGGCAGAAACTTCGGTCACCTAGTTACTATCTTTGAAAACATTTATGGAATGCAAGCTGCCCACTGGTTCCTCCTCCCTTTCTGTTGGCAATTCTAAAAGACCATAGAAATATTTGATGAGTTGAAATTGTGACAGACAGACTGTCTATCCTTACACACGTTATGCACGGGCAAAAAAAAAACAAACCACACACACATATACAGAGATTTTCGTATCGCAGCAGCTTGACGTCCTCCTGAAGCATTTGATGATGGTCCCCAAGTTGGGATGAAGGTCTGAATGCTTCTTACCTGAGATTTTCACAGCTTGCCTGCAGAGCTTTCTTGGTCTCCTCCTGGCCTTGCAGCTCCTCCGTTCGTTCGAGAAGGTGTTTCTCCTTCTCTTCCAGCAACTTGTCCTCCAGAGCCCGGATGTGGTTAGCTTGGGACTTTTCCTCCTCTTCCAGAAGATGCAGCTTTTCTAAAAGAGCTGCCAGCCTTTGGTGGCTCTCAGCTGCTATAGAAGAAAGCTCTTCCTTCGACTGGGAGAAGAATAGCAGGAGTGAATAGTGTCAAGTTTTCAGATCAGTTCACCTGGCCCACGTGAGCTGGGTTCAACTGGGCAAAATCACAGGTAGTCCTCTCGACCTATGATCATAAACCCAACTCCCTTCTAGCACTGATGATGTTACCTAGGTGGGGAAT